ATAGGTCACCTTAACAACTGAGGTAAACCTTTAAAAAAGAAAGGCCAGCAAGATTATATTAGCACCTACTTGTAACTGCAGAACCCTGACCAGGAATGCAGGAAAAGAGAGACACAACACAACTAAAAACACATAAGGAATAGAATGGAAATTTGGCTTTTAGGCAGTGTTGGGATTATCCTTATATTAGGGATTACCACACAAATCCTATAAATTTAGTATCAAAATGACCTTCTACAATACTCAAATATTTCCTATTACCTTTGAAAAACCTCTTTTCCCTGGTTAAAATATTTCCCCTGTAGGAAATTCAAGGGGGAAAAAAGGGCATGAATATGAAAATAAAAACCACCTATAATATAATCTCACTATTCAAAGCTTGGCTTGTTTTTTAAGATTGATTTCCCAGTAACTGAAAAGATTTATTTTTTTCTGAATTAAGATTCTTTCATTACTAGAATTCTTATAACATGGATCGTCTGTGCAATAATGTATACTGTCTAAAATACATACACTTACATAACCTCATCCTCTCAGAACAACCCTGTGCGAAAGTAGTGCAAGCATTCTTATCACCATCACACAGCAGAGCAAACACGGTTTTAAGAGGTAATTTACATGCCGAATGTCTCCAGCTATTTGCCATAGAATTGAGGGCTTAAACTTGGATCCCCTAATGCTGAGGCCAAAGCTCTTTCCATTACCTTAAAAAATCTCCAGAGGTACAAACCCAGAGTTTAGGAATCATTAGAAGTGCTTTGCAAATTGTTCATCTGTTCCTCTTAAGATACAGACTTCAGGGGTTACCTGGCTGGCTAAGTTAGTAGAGCATGTGACTCTCACATCTCGGGGTCATGAGTTCAAGTCCCATGTTGGGCAGAGTGCCTACTTTAAAACAAAACAAAACAAAACGGATTTCACCAAGTATTTACTGATGATCTACTATGTGCGAAAGACCATGGATAAACACAGCAACAGCCTTCAACATTGCAATGGGAAATGGGTGGAGGGGCTGGAACGGATCAATAAATATACAGTAGAATATTGATAAATGCAGTAAAGGAAGCATAAAATGCTTTAAAATTTCCAAGGAAGACATAAGCTCTTGAAACCAGGGATGTCCTGAAAGCCAGAATGCTTTGAGTGGTAGGAGTGACAAGTCCTGCGGGAATAATGCAGGCTTCCAAGCAGAGACGCAACAAAAACATGAGGCTGGAGGCTCGATTACATGATTATAGGAATCTTTAAGAGAATCCGATCATGTCTAATAGTGTCAGATCTCATTATTCTCCACAGCTTCTCTCCTCCCTCCTCATCCAAGAGAGAAAAACTTGCTCTGGGATCTTGAAAAATTAGATGTTCAGACCAACAGTGAATAATGTCACACAGGCTATAGGCATCTCTGAAGCCAATCATTACTTTTAATAGTTTAAATTTTTTTACATTGAAAGCAATTACTAAGGGGCGCCTGGGTGGCTCAGTCTGTTAAGCATCTGCCTTTGGCTTGGGTCATGATTTCAGGGTCCTGGGACAGAGGAGCCCCACAGCGGGACTCAGTGGGGAGTCTGCTTCTTTCTCTCCCTTTGTCCCTCCCCCTGGTTGTGCGCTTGCTCTCTCTCAAATAAATAAAACCTTTAAAACAAAACAGAACTGGGCTACTGTGTAGCTCAGTCAGTTAAGCATCTGCGTTTGGCTGGGGACATGGTTCCAGGGTCCTGAGATCAAGCCCCAAATCAGACTCCCTGCTCAGCGGGAAGCCTGCTTCTCCCCCCGTCTCTGTGCATGCGCGCTCTCTCTCCCTCTCAAATAAATCTTTAAAAAAAAAAATCACTAAAAAAAAATACTGATCAATTTTTATGAGGATTATTTGAAACCCACTCAGTCTTTGAAAGCACATTTGTAGTTCTACTTACAAAATGCCCTTGACAGTTTCCTGGTTGTCTATTTCTATAATGTCACAGTTTGGGGGATTTTATCCTAGTATTTTCACCAGTTCTGCACAATTCTTTATCCATTCTCAGTAGTTTGTTCCAGTAGCATTCTTCTGGATTGTCTCATTTTAAATTTTTCTGGGCGGCTGGATAAGGACTGACCTTCTGGTTTTCAACTGTTATCTTTCCCTAACTTTAAAAAATGATCATGTATTACTTTTCTAGTAAGGAAAAGTCCCAATAAACAATCTGAAAAGTTAGTTTATACTTGTACAAGTGGTAAAGTTCAAACAGGCTAAACTAATCAAGATGTTAGAATACTGGTTAGTGGGAGTGACGACAGGCAGAGCTGATAATGTTCTCATTTCTTATCTGGGTGTTGGTTGCATCAGTACACTTTATGAAAACTCATTCAATTATATATTTAGGATTTCTGTTTTTCTGTACACATATTTCAATATAAATTTTTCTTATAAGAGAAAAAAACTGACATAAGGTTTGAATTAAAGAAAGAACCCTTATAAAGTTTAGAGGGTTCCTGAAGTTCGCAATGGTAAGAAACACATAATGCAAGGGTCACCTTTTAGTAGGGAATTAGGCTCTGTGGGTGCCTGCTTCCTTTTATAAGAGCATCAAGTTTTTCCTTGTTTTAGACTACTGGAAGTTTATGTTGTGACTTTTAAGTCTGCACAGAAAAATCTGTGATCTGAGCAGGCAATAAGACCAGTTTGGTGGTGGTGGTGATGGGGTGGGGGGGGGGATCCCTCTGGCTGGTAAGCATGCTTAACCAGCACTGCCATTTCATCTCCCCATTTTGTCTCATCCCCACTGACTTTCATAAAGTAATTCATAAAAATAAAGAAGAAAGCCAACTGCAATGACAGAGAAGAAACCTATGAAGGTGTTGTTCTCAGTCAAAACACGGCTTTGGATTAAGAGTAAAATGTTGAATGCTACAATGATCTATGAACTAGAGGATGGCATGCTCTATTATGGAAACAAGAGATTCAAGAAAATGGTGCCAGAATATTCCAGGCTGAATTTATCTGAATGGCTTATACATATATTTAACTTAAATTTATATTTAATCATTAATATCTGAACCAGATACCACATTTCCATTATACTTTGCAACATCTTATAGAAGACAATAGATGGTATTGTGTTATTTGTAGATTTATTTTTTAAAGATTTTATTTATTTGAGAGACAGCAAGAGAGCAAGCACGAGAAGAGGAAGGGTCAGAGGGAGAGAGAGAAGTAGACTCTCTGCGCCCCACCCTCTGCCCCAAACAGGGAGCCTAATGTGGGGCTCGATTCCAGGACTCCAGGATCATGACCTGAGCCAAAGGCAGATGCTTAACTGACTGAGCCACCCAGGCGCCCCTGGTACTTGTAGATTTAGAGAATATCAAAGATCTGTCGATTTTTTCCCCATGTCAACAATCTGTCTTAACTGTTTAATCATCCTCAATACCATGGGGTGGGGGCAGTTAGGAAATAAGTAACTTAGATCATAAAGGAATTGTATTTGTGATCTCCTGTGGTAACAAATAGGCATCTTTCTTTTATGTATGCAAATATTTGTACTTTTTTCACTTGGGAGATACTCTAAAATAAGTATCAGTTATAGTGATTTAAGGTGCTTTGACAGAAAACACCAATACAGTGTACTGAGACTGTTTCCACCCAAAAACATAGATGTATCTCACAGTATCCGATAGTCTTCATGTATATGCCCTAGGATTATTGCTCTATGAAATCTTTATGTCTATGACATTAAGCAGGGATGAATTCCTTGACAACATGACACTTGGTTAGTTTTAACAGTTTTAAAAATGCCTGGTTTTTCTGCATTTTTAGGTTTCTGGCCAACTGTATATTCAATTCTGGGTAGGCATGTTCTATGCTCTTTTGATATAGAATATGCTAAAAATGGTAGCTGATAACTTTAACATCATCATAAGATATAGCTTTCTAGAATTATAAGTCTATTTCCCACAGAGCCAGTCACATCATTGGCTATATTCATAGATCCTGATGGGAGAGGATCTACTGTACACACGTATCATAAATATGGCTCTTATGTAAAATTAAGGATATTGAGATTATGAATTTGCTTATTTTTTAAATTTTTATTGTTTTTAGGGTGGGTGGGGAAGGACAGAGGGAGAGAGAATCTTAAGCAGGCTCCATGCCCACCACAGAGCCCAATGTGGGGCTTGATCTCACAATCCTGATATCATGACCTGAACCAAATGAAGAGTCGGAAGCTTAATGAATGAGCCACCCAGGTGCCCCACATCTTGCATTTTAATGCCTTAATCTAGTATCTTTCATTTTAGTTTGTTAAACTAGGGGGAAAAGTACTCTTTTAATTTAAAAAAATCTACCAAAAATGTAAATAAATTAAGATCATAGCAAGGACAAAGAGATATCCATTTTATGATTTTTTTTTTTTTTTAAGTAATTCTACCATATTACAGGACTTGAACTTAAGACCCTAAGATCAAGAGTTGCATGCTCTACTCACTGAGCCTGCCAGGCATCCCTGATTAATTCTCTGAATGGCACGAGAAGTTTAAACACATTATGAAACCAGGTACTACAACTTAAAAAATTTTTCCTTCTAAACTAAATTTAGGATGGTGTTTGGCAGTGGTTGGAGAAGGAAGTGAAAACAAGGAGGGGGCCTCAACAGTGCGAGTAGTTGTTTCTTAAGCTGGGTGGTGGGTGTAGAGGTGTTCACTGTATTATTTCCTTATCTCACTTGGCATATCTGAAATATTACATAATTCATTTAAAAGAAAAAAATGAAGCATAATATTCACAACTTTATTGTTTTTACATACTGGTAAATACTGGAACATTTGCTTCTAGTATACCTCACCAAGGTGAAGAGAAAAATTTCTTTCATCAGGCGTATATTGTGAAAGCATAAAGAAAATAGAAATCAAACGCCCCACCCTCTCCAATGGTTTTCGGAAAGTGCTATCTTAGCAGAACATGATTGGTCAACAGCGGCAACATGCCGCAACTCCCAGCGTAATGCTCTTAATGAGTAAATTACCTCAATTTCCTGTAACTGCTCCTGATTCGTTGTGTACATCTGCTGAAGAGAATTCTCCAACTCTGTGTTCCGATCCAGTAACGTCTTCCCAAGTTCAGCAGCAAGTTGGAGATCTAGCACGACATGTGAATTTTAGGATAATGCAAATGATCTCACTTCAACATTTTCTATAACCCAGTCCTTAAAATAAGAATGAATCAAGACCTAACCCAACACATAAAGTTTAAGTCAGATCCCAGCGTAAGGTGGAATAGCACAAAAAGAAACCTGAGTTCTACTTAAAATTCTGTTAAGCTGGGTCTCTCTACTAGGTAATGTGTGCTCTTATGTACCCTTACTTGTAAGACTGAAGAATAGTGATCTACTTTACAGAGAAGTATACATTAGTTCGGAAATGATCATTCATCATGGTAATGTCTAACATCATAATTATTTGCTCATGGATTGGACTTAATTCATACCCTCATTGTCTACTCTTTTCCTGGAGATCTTTGAGCCAAAATATAGGTAGATCTTTCAATAGTCTCTGAAGTTCCCATGAAATCTGGCTGCTATGAACTCAACTATCAAAGTATAGTTTGTGTTACAGATCCTGGCCTCCTAAGGAGACTAAAAATTAAGGCAAAAAAAGGAAAAATACACCAGTAATAAGAACACAGCCCCAGGTCTCTCATTTTTTTTCCTACCTCTCTTCATGTCCTTCTCCAAAATGAGCAAACCAGATAAACAGCACAGTGACAGTTCTTAAGGAATTACATGTCAGTAGCTTATACTTTGATTTAGTACAAAACCGTATTTCTATTTTGAACCTCATTTTTCAACTCTCTCTCATCTTGGGCATATATGTACATAAGACAGGATTTGTTTGTCTATACCCTGGAAATAAAAATTTAATGATACAAACAAGGACACTAGTATAATAATACAGGTAACTGAAACACTTACTTGCATAGCAAGTTGCATGGTAGGCCCTTTAACATAGTGAGACTGAACTGAGGAGGAAGGCCTGAGCTCGAGTTCTGACTACCATTTACAAGGTGAACACTTTTAATATGGTGACTTTAAAGGTCCCTATACTTAGTATTTTTGTCTAGAGAGAAGACGGCCCTGTCAGTGTAAGATTGTGAACATCAAATGAAATTATAAAGGAGGACTTCAGAAACTATGCTGCATACAAAGTCCAAGTATTATTAGTATGCACTGACTCACAAACTAATGTTTTTATTGCTAGGCACTATGCTACTAAGCTTTAGCTATAGAACCATGCATAAAATGGATGAAGTTCCTGTCATCCAGACACTTCCAGAGACTAATGGGAGGAACCAGACAGCAAATTAAGAAATAAAACTTGCCAATGGGATAGAACACTTTTCATTCATGAGTGCATGCATACATTCATTATTAATACCAGACACTGTTCTAGGCACTAGGTATACAAGTGTGAACTTAGCTAAAAAATTCCCCGTCCTCATGAAGCTTCTATTCTATTGGGAGAAACAACATGATAGAAGATAGACAGTGATAAGTGCTAATAGGGGGATATGAAGAATGTGGATGTGGAAGGCTGAACTTGTGACAAGGGTGACATTTGAATCAAGATGTGAAGGAACTGACTAAATGACCCCATTGATCAATCGAGAGGACCAGCATTCCAGGCAGAGATAAAACAAGTACAAAGGCTCTAGGAGGAGCTGTGACTGGAGCTAATACGGACGCCAAAGAGGTGGAAACAAAGTGCGTATGGGGGGGCAGAGACGGTGACAAGTCAGAGGGGCTCTAAGGTTGCCCAGCCAGCTTGTGTAAGGCCTACGAAGGTCAAGATTTTGGCTTTTACTCTGAGTGAAATGGAACCCAGAGAAATCTTCTGACAGGATGAGTGGCCACTGTGTAAACAGACTGCAAGAGACAAAGATGGAAGCAGGGAGGAGGCTGCAGTCGTCTGGGTGAGATGATGGTGGCATGGACTACACTGGCAGAGATGGAGAGAAGAGGTAGGAATCCGGATACAGTTTAAAGCAGAGCTAAAAAGAATTATCGACCAATTAAATATGATGTGTGAGAAAGAAAAATAGATATGGTGATAATGAATAGAGGATCTATTTTTAAGAAAGGGAGGTCACAAGGAAAATCTGAGGGGACATTTTAGCTGAGGAATGAGGATCTCGCCATATAAAAAAGCCAGCGGAGGCACTGAAACAGGGAAGAACTTAGTAGAATCTATGACCTGACAAAAAGCCAGTGTGACAGAACCATGAAGGGGAGAGTGGGAAAAGAGGAAACTGGAGGGTAGGCAGCAATCAGAACACACAGGATTGGGCGCCTGTGTGGCTCAGTGGGTTAAAGCCTCTGCCTCCAGCTCAGGTCATGATCTCAGGGTCCTGGGATCGAGGCCCACATCGGGCTCTCTGCTCAGCAGGGAGCCTGCTTCCCCCTCTCTCTCTGCCTGCCTCTCTGCCTGCTTGTGATCTCTCTGTCAAATAAATAAGTAAAATCTTTAAAAAAAAAAAAAAAAAAACCAAACATGCAGGATTTTAGCCCATGGTAAAGAATGTTTAAGTTTCATTCTAAGTATGATGGAAAGTCATTTTACTTCATGCCATAAAAAGTAATATGAAAAAATATTATGAAAAGAGGGAACCTCACTACATATGCTCTTTAAACTTAATTTTTAGAGGTTGACAAATAAGGTTTTGTATTTACTCATTACTACCAACATTAAAACATAACCTAGAAAAAGTAGTAAAAGAAAAGCCACAACTTTTATTACCCGGTCCTGTCCATTAGAGTGCATAATTAGTATTCTACTTGGTTAGTTTTCCCTCACTGGGAAAAAAAAGAAGCATCAACACCTACCACACACTACTTCAGCTCATTTTAAAACATCTTACACCCATTTATAATAAATCAGTCTGTATGTCGGTAGACAGGTGTTAAAATACATTCTCTCATGATTTAAATATTAACAACATCTATTAATGTGGGTAAGACCTCAGATAACAAGTCTATGAAATAACATCTTCTATTCACAAGGCATACAACCTTTACAAACAGCTCAAAGCATTTAAAAGACATTACTTTTTCTATCTTTTCAAGGCACTTAGCCTGGATATTCAGTGAGGCAATTTGAAGCACAAAGATACTAACTGACCTGACCAAATCAACATGAGTCACAGTGAAACAGAAACCTCTGTCAACAGGTTCTAACTTCACAGTCCTCATACTGGGAGTACGCCACAGGGAGGTCCGCACACCTCTTTGTTTTAAGTAGGGAGTACATTTCTCCTAGAGGTACTTAACCTTTTCACTTGTGTTTGGAGATAGCAATGAGAAATCAGTTGAGCTACTTGGCTTTTATTGCCTGCTCTGCCAGGGAAAGCACACACAATCCCAGGAAAGCTAAATTCCCATTTTCATTAAATGCAAAAGGAACTATGCTGATGCTCCAGAAGTAATTATTCTGTTCTCATAGGACATGTAATGTGTATACACAGCCCCACACAGAGTCACCGTGCTTATTTAAGACAAAGCATATAAACATTACCCAAACATTACTTCAGGCTCTCCTGGCCTGCTGTAAGGTGGTAATTCCTCACTGGGAAGGACTAGAGACTCACCAAAGGTGTTCTTAACTAATGATCAAAACCTGAGCCAAACCCTCTTCCAGACTCAAGACTAACTTGAGACCATCTTCTACTGCTTTGATTCAGTTAAGAAACTATCTACTCCTTAATACACAGCCAGGAGTGGCTTTCCTGCTCTGGCTGCTGTAGAAAGAGATGCCTAGCACAGCGCTGTGCCAGTAAACAGCAAGCATAAAAGAATTTGAGACTTGTCCTTATCTCAATCCTTATTTCCAGTTAAACAAAGCCCAACCTGGTTCAGTAACCTGAGGTCTCAATCTCCTAAATATTTCATAGAGGTTTAGGGTAGAATTCTGGCAAAACAAGTCTCAACTACAAGTAAGTGTCTGTGAAGTCACACTGCATAATAGGATATTACTTCATCTGTTAGTTTAAAGACAAGGGTCTTTTTTTGGTCTTAAAAAAAAATTCATTTCCTGTTGTGTAGCATCTGGCTTCCATAACCAAAAGGAGCCAAAAGCTGGCAGTAAGCCTAAGAAGTGTTTCTAAATAATTAGTGGGGGAAATGGGAGAATGCTCAATGCCCTTTATATTTTTAATTAAGGCACAAAAGGAAAGGTAACAATACAGTTTTGAAGCCTTATGCACCTGATCATCTCTATTTCTCGACAAGGATTTTCATTAAGAGGTTGTCTTTTCTAAATCCTATTGAACTGAGCTAGGCAGCCACTAAAAATACCACACATTTACTGCTGGCTTGAGAATTACAATCTATCAATACCTTCCTATGTTTCATATTTTCACTCATTAATCTTTGCAAGTGATAATCTACCTTAACAGTGTAAAATGTTAGCTCTAAGCAGGTACTCTACCCATCCCGATGCCAAAGCAAAAGATTAGCTCCGGCAGCTGAGTGATTTTTTTAAAAGGATCTTTCTTCCAGAATTCTGAAACTTTTAAATTCCCCTGCTATTATATTTTTATTTTACTTCAGTTTTCACAAACTGTGAGGACAACATATTCCCATGTTAGCTGTAGGCTGCAGCTGTAATTCAACATTAGGGCTGACAGCTTTTCCTATTACAAAATCAAATGCGTCATTTGGTGATGCTTCTGTGTAACTCCTGTTGCCAACGTTACTATAATTGGGAAAGCAAAAAACCTGAATATAAACATCAGAAAAATGATGCTGCAGGGGCTCAGTGGGTTAAAGCCTCTGGCTTCTCCCAGGGTCCTGGGATCCAGCCCCACATCGGGCTCTCTGCTCAGCAGGGAGCCTGTCCCCCCCCCCCCACCCCCGCCTGCTTGTCATCTGTCTGTCAAATAAATAAATAAAATCTTAAAAAAAAAAATGATGGTGCCAGTTTTAATGACCCTTCAACAATGATTCAGCAAATTAGTTGTACACATGGAAAGTGTACTCATCATGAAAAGGAGGAGAAATATGAGGGTTCCTTTAAACTAAGACCTAATTTGCTGATCCACCTAGTAGGAACCTGAAAGCTTATTCTAAGCTTGCACAGCTCACCAAATGACAATTATAATAGCAGCTGGACTAAAAGAAAACTCAGTCTCTGAAGTCTTTCCACCTTGTTCTCGGGGCACATTTCAAAGCAAGCACCATCATTACCTGCACGGAAGGCTCCTGCTGTCCCAGAAAGGATCTTACCCATAGAGATCATTGTCAGTATTCTTACTGTGCCAACTCAGCCCTCTGACAAAAGAGTCTCTTTATCAAAGTGTTCTGTAAAAGCAGAGGGTTTTCTCCTTCTGCCTGCACAAGCTTTACATGTTTCTAACAAGGTATAAACGGTGGACCACATCCTTCCGAGGTTAGAATTTTTCCGCAATTTAATTTAAAAAAGAATTCCCCAGCAAATTTGATGTGGTCGATTTACTTAAATGTTTCTAGTGCTAAAGGAAACAAGTTTATAGTTTAATGACTTTGAAACGTTTTTAGCAGCTCTCTCCAAACAAGGCTTGCTCAGTAAAGTTAATAGTGAGGACGTTTTAAAAAAAAAAAAAAAAAAAAAAGAACAGATGTCTGCATTTGATAAAATACCATTAGATGTGCTTATCAATCTGTTTAACAGGACAGACTTGTTTCCAAACTGTATTCAGCATCAAATATCTACTGAGGGCCTTCCATGTGCCAGGCACTGTAGTTGGGCACATAGCAGGAGGCACTATCACCAGGCTCCACTAGTAAACAGATTCCTAGACTGTTAATTCCAGGAGTAGGGCCCTATCTATTCTATCTTGTGGATAGGCACTGTGACCCCGGTGCCTAGATGAATTCCTGGCACAGACGCAATAATAAATTCTTCAGAAATTAACACACTTAAAAATTCGTTAGAAGTTTAGATGTTCTGTATATGTGTACATGTAATTTTTAAAAAGTTGGGACAAAGATATCCTTTTATTCACAGTACAGACTTCCTTCTTCTATAGGCCATATTCACAAGTTATGATTGTTGGAATTTCACATCTATTCCTACCCCACGCACTTGGGTTTTGACATATAGGTTAGATTTAAAAATCTTTTGAAAAGCAGAAAACAAATCCCAAATGCAAATTGACATTAAGGAGGTTTGGACCTGAGCTCATTACCGTTTCATTAAACTTGAACATCTGATGGCTTTGCTTTGATCAGAGGTTAAAGAGTTCCACATGTAATGGCAACAGGTTGCATCTGTTTCCCATAGACTGAAATCTTACAACTGGTCGCTCCTAACAACTTCCCACAGGGTAGAAGTGCACTGTGGATTAAAGCACTCGATGGAAGGGAGCCATGAAAACAGTAATCCTGATTTAATATTTGTTGACTCAGGTCAACAAATATTAAGACTGAGCCTCTATTATATGCTTAAGTTTGGCTGATTAAAAAAAAGGGGGGAGAAGCTTCACAGATCTATGCTTGTTAAAGAAAGATATTTAGCTTTGATTATACAAACTGCTTCATTTATTGTAGGGATATGCTGCAACTGTGCAGTGGTTGCCTCATTAATCCTGGAGAAAGTATCTAACTAGGCCATCAATCCTTATGGGGAATTTTGAAAACAGGTTTGTTAAAGTCTAAGACAAATCTGCCTTGTGGACATTGAGAACATACGATGGCAAATACTGCACTGCAGTCACTTAACAGCTTGGGCTATTTCAGTGAAACGGTGAACCACTTTGGTTCAAGTGACTGTCCACAACATATCAAAAATCACCTTTCCCCCAAAGAGCTGCTTGTATTTAGAAAAGGCAAATAAAACAAATCATTCAAGCCTGCATCTCCCCGCCCCCCACTCCCTGTTCCCACCAAGTTCAATGGTTACCACGAACCAACATCATGGTTACTTAATATTCAACTAAATGAGAGTTAATTTTCAGTGCAAATTTAAAGCTGAAAAAGTTGATTTTCACAGAATTACAGAGACAGAAGATGCCTGAAAAATTCCTAAGGAGTGTTCAGTATAGTGGCTAAGAAAGTTTGCTCTCAAGTTTGGAGTGGAAATCCCAGCTGCCCCCAAACAGTATCTAGTCTACGTCCACAGCTTGATGGGGGGGACTAAATGAGCACCAGTGTTAAGAACCCACAAAAAGCATTCCCCAAATGCAAATTCCCTCTATTAATACACATAAACAAGGTGGGGGCACTGGCTCCAAACTGAAGGCTGCTCTAAGATTTCTCTCTGGAGACAGCTTCGGCAAGAGATCCAAGGCAGGCCAAGATCTGAGGGCCTGTTTTTAACTAAAAAGCTAGGGCGCAAACTGCAAGAAGCCGCAGAGGCACAAGTGCCTCAAGTCACTCTCACTTGGCATCTGGTGAACTACGCACAAGCAAAAAAAAAAAAAAAAAAAAAAAAAAAAAAAAGTTTTCGACTTTCTAACACCCAGCTGAAGAAGCTGTAAACCGGTGATAAAGGAGATAGGGTCTAGGCAGTGGCTGCGACTCCTCGCTCTCAGTGTGTGGATTCAAACATGCACTTGACGTGGGCGAAATCGTTGGGTCGTGTTAGCCTCGCTTTCCTCATCTGGGAAATGGGGACAAAAGTTCCTCTCGGAGGAATGGATGGAGAGGGTGAGGTGGGCGGGCCCGGCACGGTTCCTGCCACATTGCACGGCTACCCCCACCACCTGCAGCAGCTCCTACTCGGTGCGGGCTCGGGGCGGGGGTCCCCGAGGAGGCGCAGAGGCCGCGGGGTGCAAGCCGGGAAGGGGACGTCCTGCGCCTCCTAGGAACGCGGGGAGGATTCAACCAGCTAAGCCGGGAAGCGCTCCCGACGTGCCCGGCCCACACGCAGGGATGGTGAGGGTCACTGCGCAGAAGCGGCCTCCCCTCGGGCTGGGCTCACGGCCCGTGCCCACGCCAGGTGAGCGCCGGACCTTCCTGCACCTGGCGTCCACCCGTCGCCGGCAAGAGCAACTTTTTAACGGTTTCGCGCCCGGGAGCCTCCCGCCAGGCCGCCGGCCCGAGGTGGTGGGGTGGGGGGGAGCGACCGCGCCCTCACCTTGCTGGAGGTCCTGGTGGTCGTACCACGGTTCGTCCTCCTTCATCTCAAACTCCTCCACTAGGTTTTCAGCCAACATCTCGGCCGGCTCCTCCGGGGGCAGCAGCCCCCGCCGCCGCCGTCCCGCCTCAGCCGCTGCCCCGGGCTCTCCACCGGCACCTCCGCCCTCAGCCAGAGCAGCCCTCGGGCGGGACGCGACGCCGCCCAGGCTCCGCCGCGCCTCCTGACCAGAACTGCTCCCCGCTGCCGCGGCCGCCGCCGCCGCGAGGCGAAGCGCACCGCACGCCGCGGACGGGCTTCCCGACCCGCCTCGAGCCGCCCAACGGCCCCGACAGCCGGAGCCCCGGCGCGAGCGCCCGGGCCGGCACTCTGAGCCGGCTCCTCACGCCGCAGCCGGGCCCAACGTGGCACTTTGGCAGAACCCTCCCCTGCCGGGGCCGCGATTCAAACCCCCGGCGGCGCCTCGGCCAATCGCGAGCGGGCCACCGTCCGAGCGGCAGCGACGTCGTCCAATCCTGTCTCACCGCAGGCCCGCGGATCGCCCGGTCTAGCGGGCAAGCAGCCAATGGTGACTCTGGAAGAAACAAAGAAGGCGGGGGAAAGGCGAAGGGGTGCGGCCGACGGCCCCGCCCTCCCTTCTACGTTGGGTCAATTCTGGGCCAGCTTTCCGAGTCCCGGGTGTGGAGGTGGCGGCCTCCGTGGTACCTTTGGTGGGTGTCCGACCGGCCAGTTAGTCGGTGGACAGGCTACGTGGGCTTGAGGGGGCGGGAGTCCTGCCTCTGAGCAGTGGGCGGTCGTCGTGGGGGCGCCCTTCGTGCAAGCGGAGGCGCGAAGGGTGCCGGGAGCCGAGGTCAGCCGCCTGGCTGGCCCCTTCTGGTCTTTTGACTCCCGGGTTTGCTCTTGAGAAACTAAGGGTCGGCCGGGAGTTTAGGCTGTTGGCTGTTTTCTCCTTCATTATCTGAGCGCTCACCTCCAACCCACTGAGAGTTGTGCTCACTTCCCCTGAAACGGAGGGCCCGATTTAAGTATCTGGGGGCTGAAAAGGGTGCAGCTGAAGGTAGCTCCTTAGGGGGAAAAAAAAATTGCAAGCACTTTTGCACATGATTTTTAAAAGGTTCATAGACCGCCAGTTAAGTACCCAGGGTCACTACATGGCACCTGGAGGGAATTGAATGCAGCCCTAGTACTTGATGGCCAGCAGGGCAGTGAACTTCGCTCCGCACAGCGTTAAAGTTGATACCGTTCGTGGGGTGCGGCTTTTACCATCACCGTGCAGACCAAACATAGAAACTTAAGTGGGGTGACTGGATGGTCAGTGTTCTCGACCTTGACGTAAGGGTAAAGATACTGCTGATAAAAGCAGTGCTCTCTCCTACTGCCAACCAATAAATGTAGAAGGAATAATGGTGTTGGAAAGTAATGAAGAGGAATGGTAAACGCAAATCCTTTTTTTCTGAATTCAGGTATACTAAAAGGCAAAATGTTACTGATTAGTTTTTTTTTTTTTTTTACTTTTTTATTGCTAGGTTAAAAAAAAGAAGAAAACTAGGTTACCTTTATAGCCTTTACTGCCCTAATTGTCAAAATTCAGATAGAGATATAGTCCAGAGCCAAAAGAAAATAATTTAAAACCAACTGTCTTAATCTAAAAGTAAGTCATTGCACACTGAGCTCTTTGGAAAGAGAGATGATTGGATTTAGGATTTGCTGACTGTGATTTGTGGAAGCTGAAGGGCTAAAATCAGGCATTTGACCTTCAAGGGACTCATCTCCCCTAGTCACTGATCCGCAAGATTGGAAATGCTAGCTTTTTTTCCTCCATGGCAAATAACTCATTGAACTCCAAATCAAACTGGTCAGTGTATTGAAACGTTCTTTTGCATTCTCCTTCAAAAACAAAAACAAAAACAAAAACAAAAAAGAAAGATATGGAGAGTTAATATTTTTTTTTAAGTTTTTTGTTTTTTTTTTAAATTTATTTGACAGATCACAAGTAAGCAGAGAGAGAGAGGAGGAGGAGGCAGGCTCTCTGCTGAGCAGAGAGCCCGATGCGGGACTCGATCCCAGGACCCTGAGATCAGGGCCTGAGCCAAAGGCAGAGGCTTTAACCACTGAGCCACCCAGGCGCCCCTGGAGAGTTAATATTATTGATAGATTAAAATGGCAGAAAAACAGACTTTACATCTTTCGTACTAGTGGGTTCTTTCTACAGACACCTTTTGAAGAAACTTTTTCCCTGGAAAATGTGAACAAAAATTGCATTGAGGGATCAAGCCCTACTTATGATCTCTGTCAAATAAATAAATAAAATCTTTAAAAACAAAAAACAAAAATTGCATTGAAAAAGAGATGTTAGCATTCACTGCTCAAAACCATGCTTTCAACGGGTCCCCATCATTCTTTCACAGCCTATTTAGTCGAAACTTAGAAGCAATCATCCCTTTTCAGGGACATTGATATTACTTGGTGTAATGGTAGGTTAGTGAATAACAACCCAAGTTGATTCTAAAAAGAAGGGTTTGGGTTTTCATTTAATAATTCATGGGTACTGGGGCGCCTGGGTGGCTCAGTGGGTTAAATAAAATAAAATAAATAAAATCTTTAAAAAAAATAATAATTCATGGGTACATTGTATACCTGCCCAGCCTAACCATTATACCATTTTGCTATTTAAACTCTTCTGTATAAAACCTTTTGTGGTAAAGAAGAACCAGTTTCAAAAGTCTTTTGTCCCTGCTCGTAAAGATAAAATATTCTTGTTTGTGGGGCACCTGGGTGGCTCAGTGGGTTAAAGCCTCTGTGTTCAGCTCAGGTCATGATCTCAGGGTCCTGGGATCAGCCCGCATCGGGCTCTCTGCTCAACAGAGAACCTCCTCCCCGACACCGCCCCCCCCGCCCCATGCCTGCCTCTCTGCCTACTTGTGATCTCTGTCTGTCAAATAAGTAAATAAAACCTTTAAAAAAAATTCTTGTGTCTTGTTGCTATAGTAAAATCAGGTAAGGAGAGTTTTTAGATAGTAGTGGTGGCTTTGAAAAAAATTTTAAGTGGTGATTTTCAGTTTGATATTTACTGAAATAAGTATTTTTAAAAAGATTTTATTTATTTATTTGACAGGCAGAGATCACAAGTAGGCAGAGAGGCAGGCAGAGAGAGAGGAGGAAGCAGGCTCCCCGCTGAGCAGAGAGCCCGATGCAGGGCCTGATCCAAGGACCCTGAGATCATGACCTGAGCCGAAGGCAGAGGCTTTAACCCACTGAGCCACCCAGGCGCCCCTGAAATAAGTATTTACTATGATGAAAATAATATAAAGCAAAATATTGATAGTTCCTTTTGCAAATGGAAATAAGGGGGATTTTACTTCCTCCTCTCAGTATATATAAACAAAGAGAAGTTGAGGCTATGAGAGTTTTTCATAATGTTACTAAGACCTTATATTCACATGTTTCAGACAGGATGGGTGCTTAACTCAAATTCTTTTTTAAAAAAACTTAACTTGGGACACCTAGCTGGCTCAGTCAGTTAAGCGGCTGCCTTTGGCTCAGGTCATGATCTCAAGGTCCTGGGATGGAGCCCTACATTGGGCTCCCGACTCAGGGGGAAATCTCTTTCCCCCAACTCCCTTAACTCATGCTCTCTCTCTCTCTCTCAAATAAATAAAATCTTCAAAAAAACCCAAAACAAAACAAAACTTAATTCAGTGAATTTATGATCCTCTGCAAAATTCTGAGTTTGTAAATACCCACTTCCTGACTTAATGATAGATCAGCTCAGAATGTGTGGCATGCTTCTTCTTCTTTTTTTTTTTTTTTCCCCAGCATGCCTGAAATAAAACTAAGAAAAAGAAGAGTGCCTACGTTTGGGGGGACTAAATTTGTATCTTGGATTTTGTTTCAACGGACTCCCTTATTTTGGCATTCTTGGCAACACAGTCTTCAATCTTCATTCTCACTTATACCAGAAGTTACCCCCTAGAAGGGGGTCTTCACTGGTATTTCCAGCTTTTTCAAATCTGAGAATTACCTTTAAAGCCAAAAATGTTGGCTGACCTCCACATAATGGTACTTGTACTTTTCAAGTGTTTGGGTACTGCATAATGACAACAAAAAAATTCATATAGTATCTTATCATTACAGCAAAATCTACAAACATTTTAAGAATAGTAGTGCACATATGAGCAAAATATTCTTTATTCAGTGTGCAGACAATGCTTGGTCTGCATACAGGTTTCATAACCCCTTTTCTTTTTCTTTTTTTTTTTTTTTAAGATTTTATTTATTTATTTGACAGAGAGAGATCACAAGGAGGCAGAGAGGCCAGCAGAGGGGGTGGGAGGAAGCAGGCTCCCCGGCGAGCAGAGAGCCCGATGCGGGGCTCGATCCCAGGACCCTGAGATCATGACCTGAGCTGAAGGCAGAGGCTTAACCCACTGAGCTACCCAGGTGCCCTCATAACCCCTTTTCATTGTAGGGTCCTGCTTCCCATATATTTGGAATCAATTTTGGATCTACCCAATGTAAAGTGAAGCTCAGGGACTTAGATAATTTGAACCAGCTGTTCACTGCTTGCTTCTAGCCTGCCTTTCCCTTCCTTAAGAAACTGGGCAGTAAAGACTGCAGTGTCCGCTGAATTCCCAAGGATTATTTAAGCAAGTGACTTCTCTTGAGTTATCTGGATATTTGTCTGTTTTGTGACACAGTAAGATTATGCCGACCTGGCCAAATATTCTAGGAAGTTAGGGATAAAACAAAAAAATCATGGTATTATCTAAAACTATAGTCAGGGTTAAAAGAAAGACGAATCTTGTTTTCCTAACCTATTTTCCAGTTGCATAAATCAAGTCACTGAAAGGCTGAGACAATAGGCCAGATTTACGAGAGACGTCTACATCGAGCAAAGACCAGAATGTGTTCTTTCTTTTTTTAAGGTTTTATTTATTTATTTTGAGAGAGGGAGAGAGCAAGTGCACGCCGGAGGAGGAGGGGGGCGCGGAGAGAAAGAAACTCAAACCCAACTCAGGACTTGATTTCACAACTGGCACCCCCAGAATGTGTTACTTCTAATATCCATCTTAGATACATCCTTTGGGCCAAAGTTACATAGTCTGTGAGGAGAAGACCAACAGTAAATATTCCAGTGCAACTCTGTAATTACTGAATGGTCGACTTTATACTAAGATGAAAGATTCTATTCCTTCTGTCTGACTTTAGCTAAAGGATGTCATTTCATTGTTCCCTTTTTTTTTAATTT